CACACACACACACACACACACACACACACACACACACACACTCAGTGTAGTTATTGAACTGCTGAATGAACACAGCAGGGAGCTAAAACCAAAGTGGAAGTGAGAGTTTACCCAGCTACAGGGTAGCCAAGTTTCATTTCATTTCATTTCATTTCATTTCATTTCATTTCATTTCTAAGAGCTAAGCCAAAACGAGTCACATGCTTCTCTAGGAACATTTTCAGCAGTGTTTAAAGTCTCTGATTGTGCTGAGTCTTCCAAAAAAGTCGACATATCCTTTAATGTGCTTTGCTCTAACTTACAGGTGCCTTCCATGGCATCATTACCAGCCAAATCTTAATGGCCGTGCAGTGCCATCTCCCCTTCACCGAGTGGGTAGGATCACCCATGTGACTAATCTGGGAAGAAGACAGAAGAAGGAGCAGCCAAGAAAGGGGGCTGTGGGGAGAGGGGCCAAGGCTGCAGCAGGCAAGACAAGCTTGACACCGAACAAGCATTTTAAAGCAATAGGCATGTTCACACAATCTGCAGTCACACAGTGTTCTACTGTGCCACAATCATTTGTTTTCTAACCCCAATTATTTCAACATAATTTGGTTTTATATCCAATCCTGTTCTAAACTCTGTACAACAATCTAGTCTTATATCCCATTTATCACTGCAACTACCCTTGTTGGAGGTGTACAATATTTTTACACTCATCTTAACAGGCTAAGAGAGGGAGCTGAGATGAAAATCGTACCCGTGCCATTATTGATGAATTCCTCCTCTTCTCTTGGGTCTCTGTTGTTGTCTTTCCCACATTTGCAAATAGAATCAGTCCTGCAGAAATTACTTGTGAGGAAATGCATCAGCTAAAAGGGTTTAAGATGATGATCTTTATTTTTGTAAAACGTAATATCCTTCCAAGTCAATTCAGTTCAGTTCTCAGGCCCAGGTCTCAAAATGGGGAATTGTGCAAAAGGGGGGCAGGCGTCTCAATGGAGATGTTTCATTTTGATTTCCCCTCCCCTCACTTTCTTTCAGGTGCACAATGATACCACAACAGGGCAGGCGGTCACCATGGAGCTGTTCCTCACCTTCCAGCTGGTCCTGTGCATTTTCGCCTCCACGGATGACCGCAGGAATGACAATGTGGGATCCCCGGCCTTGTCCATCGGTTTCTCCGTTGCCCTGGGCCACCTTCTCGGGGTGCGTATCTCAATGGCATTGCTTGACTGCGTCCAGACAAACACATACTATAATTCAGGAAATATGGTATAAGCCTAGTGTTTGAAAAAGTGGGGTGGATGCACCATTTCTAACTTCCCATGGCTGGAAGATCAGTGGGGAATGCTGAAGTTAGGGCTTTAAGAAATATTTACCAGCTCCAACATTTCCATGAGCTGGTAAATATTTCTTAGACAAGTCAATTTGGCGGGGCAGAATTTTCTCTGGAAAACTTCTTCAATTTTGCACATACGCCATCTATTTTAAAAATCCTGTTCTGCACAACAGTTCCTTCTAGTATTTCAAGGCCACCCCCAGCTGCTTTTTTCATCTTTCTAAATTAATTGCCTAGCACATCCTAACCTATCCAAGATCACACCATGGACAGGATGATGTCATAAATTGGTGCTCCATCAGACGTAGCTGTTCCATGACAGCAATGGGGACAAGTGAGGACAATTTATGCCAACATTTTCACAAGGCATGCCCAAAAGAAGGCACCCAGCTAATAAGTTGTAGGCATTTTTCATAGTACTGCCAGAAAACGACCCCTTGAAAGCATTTCGGACCAACCCTGGTTAATAGCTTTATTTTATTTACTCACACTAAAGCTTATAGTTGTTCTGCTTTGTCAAATAGAAAAAATGATCCATAGAAAACTGAAAAGGTGAGTGGAATGTTAGGAAAGGGAAAGGGAAACTTCCTTGGTGCGATGAAGTGTCTGTAAAAAAACCCCCCACTAGTTTTAACAGAAGCAGAAGCAGCTTCTATCTGAAGGACCTGATGCTTAATTTCCAGAGGCAGGGGCTTCAGTGACACAGTGAGCCAGTATCTGCAAAGCAGTAAAACAAATTGAGTTCTTCCAGTATATCCTCATTCTTAACCAGTTGCCAACTTTCATTCTTCATTGGCTGGAACTGTGGGGCCTCTTGAATGTTCTTTGCTGAGCCAGGTCAGCTCAATTCCTGGAAGTCCTGCCAACAGGAAAAGGCTCCTCTCTCCTCCAGAGAATTATTCTCCTTTCACCCTTGCCTTTCATCTTTCCCCTTTTTGATGTTCTTTGCAACTGGCCTTGATTGCTTTCTTCCAAGTATTTGCCTCTGCTAGAGATGAACAATTTTTTCAGTTTGACTTTCCCCTAGATTTGGGGGGGTGGGGGAATTCTGTATATAAATAACTTTACAGATTTGGGAAATTTCTTACCCTAAGCCAACAGAAACGAGATCATCACCCACCCACTACAGCCAGTTTCACCCAGTATAGCTAACTTCCTAGCATGAAGAGGGACATGACTGTTACAGATGAGGAACTTGTCAGAAAAGGGTTGGTTACCCTAATTCATCGCTGGCAGGACTTAATGTACAGGGGTTCAAAACCTGTCTTTTGAGGGAAACCATTATTTTTATTATTATTATTATTATTATTATTATTATTATAACATTTCTATGCCGCCCCTTGCCGAAACCTCGGGGCGGCTTACAACATGATAAAATACATTGAAATACAATAGTACATAATAAATTACCATTAAATATAAAAATACAAAAAATACATTGATTTACAAATATAAAATTAAAATTATCAGTATAAAATAAAAATATAGGAGGAGAAAGAGAAGGAAGAAGAAGTTGCCCTGGCCAGATCATATGTTTTAACAATTGAAATGATGTTTAAATAAAAAGGTCTTTACCTGGCGCCGAAAAACCAGTAACGACGGTGCCAGGCGGACCTCTTTGGGGAGTGAATTCCATAGGTTGGGCGCCACCCTGCAAGACCCTGACTGGATGAATTTGTCAGTTTCCATTTTTAACATCTCAAGTCAGGGAGGATGCATGGCAGATTCATACCAGTTCCTTTTAGACTGAGACTGACATTCTAGATAGAACCCAGTCCATACAATCCAGAGCTCGCACTGTGATATGGGAACCAAAAAGGGGGAAAGCATTCATATGCTTGAAAAATATGCATGATGTACTTTTGGCAAATATGCAGAAGTATGTTATAAACAGTGGTAGAACAACGTATATGTTTCAAATATGAGCACAAAAGATGGAAAAATATGAAAAAATAGACACAAATTCTCATGAGAACAGGGGGAAATGTGCTTCTTTTGGTTTTGGCTTTTGCTCTGTGAATGGATTGGAAATGGAAACATCTCCAAGATTGTGTTCAAGTCTATATTCAATCCAATAGGGAAATCCTGACAAAAAATGAACTGAAACTAATTTCTTCTACATCTGTAACCAGCACCAAGTTTGAAAGGAACAATTATTGAGAAAAATGGTATTGAATCCATTTGCTTCAGGCCATTCTCCTGAAGCAAAATTCTGACTCACTCGTTCCTATTTGCTCCTTGGGGAAGAAACACTGGAACACACTCAGAAAGTCTCCCTACTCGTGGCTGCTTTAAAGGAAAATAAAAATGTCAGAAGATCTGACCAAAGGTATATATTCACTCCAGGAGCTCAGGCCAGTGTACACAGGCTACCCACCTGTTTTATCCTCACAACAGCCCTGCGAAGTAGGTAAGGCTAGGTGACGTGCTCAAAGACACCCTGTGAAAGTTATGGCCAGGTAGGGATTTGGTGCTCCACTAGGACTGCTTCCATCGTCCCATTGTTTGGTCTTTAAAAGCAAACCTTTGAAAAGGTCCTGGAACAGCAATCCTACAAAATCCAAGCCTTCATCAGCATCACACTTGTGGGGTGAGTTCTTTAGGGCCACATAGCCCGCTGAAGCCACCCTTCAGCGTTACTGGCCTAGAGGGGCATGTGTGGAAGGTCCCGCCGGAGGGGCCCTGCCTGTGTGTTGTGGGAAGGACCCAGGAAACAGCGTGTCCACGGCCCTTCTGCCCCGTTTACGAGAGTGCTGACGCCACCCGCAGCATGCCTGAGGGCCAGGGAGTTCCTGCTGGAACGGAATACGCTGCAGTTGCAGGGAGTCCTTGCTCATGCCGCAGGCTGCCAAGGATGATGGGGAAAGCGCTGGCCAATGAGTGCTAGGCCCATAGCACGTGTGCCATCCTGGGTGTGAACACACAGCCCCAGTGTGTCAAGGGGTGATGCTTCAGGTTCCCAGTTCTGCTTATGGGCGCTGCTGCCCAGGGGAATGGGGACAACGGGTTCGCAGCAGGGCCCCTGCTCAGGACAAGGCTGAGAGGGAATGTACAGCAGTGCTGTGGATACTCTGGCACCACTCGTAAGAGTTACACATCTTCAGATCAGTCCTCCATCGATTTCCTGTGTGGACACGAAACTTTAAGCCCGTGTCCATTCCATCCAACGTCAACATGATTCTGCCATTTTCAAAAAAATCCTGCAAAACCTCACAATTATTTTTATATACAGATGATTTTGTATGCCTCTGTTAATTTTACTTTTAACTCATGTTCTCATTTATATCCTCTTTTTTTCCCTCCAAGGAGACTAAGGAGGCATGCATGGTTTTCTTCCTCCTCTCCCCTCTCACCACCACACCAGGTTGACTCTTTCTCTAAGGCATGCCTTCCTCCTTGTATCTTTCCTAATATATACAGCTTTCATTGCTTCTTTCTCTGGCACATGATTTTTGGTATGTGACTTTTGAGCCACAAACTGCAGGTTTGTTTTTGTGGGGATAAGCTTGAGAGCAGGAGGAAGTGTTGAGTTCTTTGAAAATAAAGAAAAGGTAGGATAAAACTCTCATAAAAAAGTATGCAATCCAAAAGATAAGTGTGTTATCCTTTGATCCACATCTTGGCCCAGAGGCCAATATGGTCAACTCACTTTAAAATGTGAACTGGCTCGCTTTAAAATGCAGACCAAATGAAATTCTACAGCCACCCTAGTAATAACTAGTGTGATATTATCAGTGCAGGCCAAAACCCAAGTGAGCTGTAGCTTTAACATGCATGCCAGGTACACAGGGCAATTTTACTGCTTACAATTCAAAGGTCCAGCATCTGGCTGCTAACGGGTATTTCTGAAGGATGATTGTAGGTGGAAGAAATAGGGGGTCTCTCTGTTCCCCCACCCCATATGCAACCTCCTATCCCACTCAAGGGCCCCTGCCATGAGGTCCTTCTTCTGAAATGCTCACCCTGGTCCCACCACCAAGACTTGCAGCTTTGCCCAGCTGAGCTTTCCATCCCTCAAGGTCCATGCACTCCATCTTCCACCTGCAACACGCCCCGTGCTTTGTCCTGTTCAACATGCCCCAAGCTTTGTCCTTGACTATCTTCAAAAAATGATGGACCACAGCTCTGCGAACATAAGGTGGCAGCTTCAGTCGGTGTGTTCCTGACCTCCAGAAGCATTCTGTGCACTCACAGGATATTTTTCTTGCAATATTTTTACCCTGCAGTACAGAATCATCTCCCTTCCCACAGAATCTCTGTGTCAAACAGTGCAGCACAACTGTGAGCGAACGCAACAGGCACGTCAGGCTGCCTTTAACCCACCCGCCCCACGAAGCAACCTGATTGTCAGGGGAGAAAGTGAGTGACGTGTGTTCCATGTGTTCAGAGCGGAAAGTCGTAGCTCTGGGGTCAGAAAAATGGCTTTGAAAATGGAGCTCCTGCTGTTGGCTTGGGGCACATTCCTAAGTTGTACTGAATACATACTGTGCTTGCTGCCATTTACGTATGGCAGTAACCACGTTCCATTGCGCCAATAGAGGCAGACTAGGCCCTTTCTGACACGGGGATTCACCTGCCTGCAGAAAGCCCAAGAGGTGCCGTGGCATCGAAGTCTGCAAACATGGTCCCGGTGTGTTGCCTTTGTGTCTGTGATGCTCTCCCCTCCTTAAACTCAGCAAGTCGCCCCCCACTTGAATGTAGCATTTCAGCCAGGACTCTTAAACCCATAATGATTCAAGCACTTCCTTCCCACCCCAGATCTATTACACGGGCTGCTCCATGAATCCCGCTCGATCATTCGGTCCTGCTGTGATTGTGGGCGACTTCGACAGCCACTGGGTAAGCAAGACTCCAGTCAGTTCGCGCGCTCCACCCGTTCCAAAACTGTTTCTCTCTCTCTGTTTTGAACGCCCTCTTCCTGATGCCAAGGAGCATTGCCTGCCTCCCACATACAATTCCACACTCCTGCAGACTCCTATTTGCCCGCTGCAGGATGCCTTCTTTCACCTTCCCGTCCTGAACATACTTTAAATTGGTTCAAGGTGTGTGGGAAGCATTTCCCAAAAACATATGAACAGCTGACCATCCAGGGCTGGTGTCAACCGTGGGCACGGTTGGGCCCCTGCCAAGCCCCATACTCCAGCAGAACCCCATAGATCTCCTCCTCCTCCTCCTCCTCCTCCTCCTCCTCCTCCTCCTCCTCCTCCTCCTGTCCACAGCAACCTGCTTGCTCTCCTGCCTCTTGCTCCGGCCCAGGTGATGATTCTGGTGATGAGGAGGAGCAGGAGATGCCCGGGCTCCTTGCTCCCTGGCCCGCTCTGCTTGGCATGCAAAGGAGCAGCGGCAATGATGGGCAAGAGGCTGAGGAGCACGAGCAGCTGGGGACAGTGGTGGAGAGAAGGTGGGCTCCTAAGAGCAGGGCGTCCTTCTGATGGTCCCACAAAACCTGGGACCGGCACCGTGATCACCGCTTCTACCCTCGACCTCCTGCAGGGAGCACCAGAAGGCTACCCCGCACGCCTCCACGGATCCTGCATTCCCTTGGACACTGGGCCAGGCCACGGATGCATCTCCATAAAAGGGGAAATGCTTCCCCCAAAGGGAGGGCACATTTGCAGAAAACTTGCATATGTGTCGCTGTGTAGCAATGCCCACTTCCAAATAATGCCTCAAGCCAAGGGGAAGTGTCATTTGTCCTAAGGGGGAAGCCTGGAACCAGGTGGCCGGTGTGTCTGGCTGCTCAGTCGGCTGCACCCCAGCCCTCCGGCCCAGGCCCCAAAGGCTCCTTCATGCGGATCCCCTCCAGCCTGAGCGCCATTCGCATGAATTCTCCTCCACGCTGGGTTCTTCTGCTCTCTGGTCTTGCCTGCATTTCTGCAACAGCCTTTACATGTAAGTGCACTGCAGGCAAGGTGTGCCTACCCCCATTCGGAGAGGCTCACGTTTAAGCTTCCCACTTCCCTGAGCCTGGGCCTCTTTGGGCTCAGTTCTGAGTAGTCCTGCATAGCAACACTCCAAGAGGGACCCAGGCAAGGGAAAGAACAAAGTTTGGAAAACAGAAGCCCAGTCAATTCCAAATGCAGAGGAACGGGTTTCAGACCCTGGGACCTTCCTGGGTAAAAAAGGGGGCCACTGGAGCCTCTGAAGACCAGCATAAAGCATGCCCAGAGAGCTGCTCCGGCCATGTGGCCCAGTCGGAGCCTTGGATCTGGAGGCCTGAGGGCATTTCAGTGCTTAATCGGAGAGTCATATTATGTGGAGGAGGGAGCTGCCAGTTGGAAGAAAGACGAAGTGACTGGTTGGCAGCAACTGTGGAGGGGAGCCGGAGACGCTCGTTGCCCTCCTGGTTGCAAGAGGAAGCAGCGTGAGCAGTTTGTGCTTCCTGACTTGGCGCCTGAAGAAAGCCCCACCCGGTTCCAGGCAGCATCTGTATGGGCTCTTCAGATCCTGCTCTGAGCCAGCTTTAGGGCAGTTGGATCTCGCTGGATCTGCATTTTGCTTTTTTGCATTAGTGTGTGATTTTTCCGTATGTTTGGAGATGACTTAACATTTATGTTCAGTGAAGTGCAAGAATGAAGGCAGAAAATCTCTTTGGCAGATAGCCATGAATTCTTTAATTTCCCGTACTCTGGACCCAAAAGCAGACATCTTAGACATATACTGTGTTGGTCTGTGGGATTTTTAATAATATCGCAATCAGATCTGAAATCAGGGTCAGTGATGAAGCATTGTTTGCTTTTGCAGAAAAGCATGGGATCCATTTCTAAACAGTCATCTGGCCTGGGGAAAATGGGAATTATAATCCAGCACAGCTGGAGGGCACCAGGTTGGGGATGACTGAAATAGTGGGTGCCTTCAAATAAAGAACTAAGCTATGTACAGGAGGGTACCTGGCCATCCAAGATAGCAGGAGTGCACGGTAGGTCTCTGATCAGCCACTGTTTAGATCCTAGACAGGGGTAAGGCAAGCAGAAGGGATTACAGGTAAAAAGAGGGAGTGGGAGAGCTGAATCCAGAAGCCCAAAGGAGGAGTGAGCACAAGATAAGTTGGAGAGAAGCTGAAGAGGTGCAACTTGGGAGGTGTAGCAGCCAAGCCCAAGGGGAAGGCAAGATGGAGAAGCATGAAAAGGCCTAGAGAGGCAAAACTGGAGTAAAAATGGCTGCACAGGATTGCTACACGTGGCCAAGAGGGCAGAATATACTGAGCCACGTGTTGAAGGGATATAACCAACAGTACCTTATGTCCAGAGGCCTTACAGTAACCCTGAATTCTGCAATGGCATCCATATCTCCTGCCCCCAATACAGTTGTTGCAAAACGGTGAAAAATCCCATCACCACCTTGCGCTCGAACTGTGAGGCTTTGTTTGAGAAAGCTTCCCACTTTATCTCAGCTGCCTTTTCTCTCCCCAGGTCTTCTGGCTGGGCCCAGTGGCTGGAGGAGTGGTGGCTTCCTTGCTCTACCACTATGCTCTCTTCCCCCATACAAAGACCCTCTCGGAGAGACTAGCCATCTTCAAGGGCTACGAGCCAGAGGAAGACTGGGAGGAGCGCGAGGTTCGCAGGAGGCAGTCCATGGAGCTTCACTCCCCACAGAGCCTGCCCCGAGGAGTGATGGAGAAAGTCTAGACCTGCACTACGGACCGAGGACAAGAGCAGGCCTCAGCTAGCCGTATTCTCAGGCATTGTCTCTGAGTCAAGCACATGCTGCAATTGCACAGTACCCACTGAGCTCCCAGCTCCATCCCCGGGAGCAGGACGTTTATCTGTCAAAGATTTAGCCCTTCAGCTCAAGTTAGAAAAGATGCACCTTTAGCTCTGAAAACCTCTGAAAGAGCTTTCGAGCCTGTTTACAGTGAACAGAACCCTTGCGTGGCACCATTTTAGCCTCTGAAGGAGCTATTCCAGTGAGCTTCAGCTTGCTTCCCTATCCACTTATCTAAAATTCCTGTGAATCTCTAGAATCCTGGCCATGGGGCAGAAGTCAAAGCAATCTATGTGTAGATGAGAAACAACCCCTGAGGGAAGAGCAGCCACAACTTTTGAAGGCCTGACACTGGCAAGCAAATTCATGGAAATGCACCTGTGCATTCCCCAGATCCCAATCACATCAGTTCAGTTGCAAGCAGCCTTTATTCCACCTTACTTCAGAGTCAGGCCAGGCTGCAAATCCTAAATGCACTCACTAGGCAGAAAGCTTCCCCAGGCAAGTCTTCCATAAATCAGCTGGGTGATTTTGTGTCTCAGCCAAGTTCTTGCGGGGTGCTGGCAGGTCCCTGGTTGTCACTTTATACCACTGATGTGAAATGCAAGAAGATATTGTGAACAAAAAGCCTTTGGGTGCACAAGCATTCTTTTTGGACAAACCGTATTGGGAGAAGATGATACCAACCAATCAAAGGAATAATCAGTGTTTTCAAGGGGTGTTTGTAACTAACCTGAGTTTGCCCTTCTATTGCAGATTTAATTAACTTCTTCCTCTTTGCTATCCTAAGTGCCACTTAGGCAAATTGTGGGATGGCACGTATTTGCACAGATGAAATGAAGGACTTGCCCTGGCTGGGTTGTGCCTTGGTCTCCTTGCACATCTCAGATTTCTTTTTAGAGCCATGACAAATGGTATAACTAATGGACAGGAGTTCTAGTCCTGTATAAGTTCTTTATCATCACTGACGACAGCTGTTTTTTTCAGAGCTCAGTAGGAAACCCTGTTGCTTTTGACACTTTCTGAATGATGGGAAGTGGTGTGTCCTTTGTCCTTGATAAATTGGGGGTACTTTATGATCTACAATGTTTTAATGTTACAATATGATTTACAATGTTTTAAAACTTTTACTGCATCTTACATTTGGCAGAATATTCGTAGCATAAAGACACAGTTCTTCCCAGCTACCTAATGCAACCAAATCTTCTGACAATGGTGAAGAGGGTGGACTGAATCAGTATCTGTTGAATTAAGATGAAGATGAAAACATTAAAGAAAAGGTCTTTCCACACTACGGATGGGGGAGAAATGCTTTGGGTTCATATTTTAATTTGAAGTTATCCAAGTTTCCACTGTTGAACAGTTTGAAACTGATTGAAACTCCATAATCAAAATCAATGTTGAGAAGTGAACTCTGAGGTGCAAGTTTTCACATTTTGATTTTTTTGCCAAATGTTGAATTTGTTTGAAACAGAATTTTGGTTCTCATTGTTGTTATTTCTTGTCTTGAGGGTCAGTGAAGGAAAAGTGCATTGTTACATACGTGTGCAAATAGCACAAATATTTATCACAACAGTTTTCATACAAAACTCTGACATACCCTATTTTCAGGTTTAGGAAGGACAAAAAAAAGCAAAAGGCCTTGATGAAAATGAGAGAGAGAGAGAGAGAGGACAGCCTGATTGATTGATACCGCATACAGCCTAAGGCAGTCCAAAAGGCAGTGAAAAGTGACCATGGGTTGCTTCTCTTTTTAAGCTGCAGGGATAATCCTTTTTAGTTTAACACAAGTAGAATCATGCACACCTTCATTCCCCTGAGCTGGTAAATGCATGTTAAAATGAGTCACTGTTCTGAGCAGCAACTAGATCTTTTGTCGGGTGAGAGCAAAGAAGAAAAGAGCCCACCCTTGTCTGGAGCAGAGCAAGCATTCAGCCTGGAACTCCAGCCCAGGCTTGCATTCAAGGACCCCAGGCAGGGCGGCTTCCCCTTCCCAGGCAAATGCAGCCTGGCCTAAAAAGTCAACAGCCGTGCAGGCAAGAGCAGCCCGCACTCCAGCATGAATAAAGGCTCTTTGTGGCCTTGCAGAGCAATATGATGGAATGATAAACAGATCTCTGCTCCAGGCTGGCTCTGTGACCTTGGAGACATCAGTGACGGACAGATCCTTCTGAGCCGCTCTACCCTCCAACTGCGGGGAGCATTAGAGGGGGATGCAATGACCGCGTCACATTGGAAATGGCAAGTTGAGCCAGGACATCTTTCTGATGCAGCAGCACTGGTGGGAAGGGCCAGTGTTGACAGAGACCCTGTAGTGGCATCACGCAAAAACCCAGAAGCGAATAGAAAAGGGATGGCATGGCAGAAAAGGAAGCAGGACTGAGCAAGAGACAGCTATACAGCACAGCTGGGTCAGCACCACCCACACACACAATCTGGTATTTAGTAGGCTTTTACAGGGCAGTAAGAACAAGTGTTGGATCCTTCTAGACCAGCCTTCCGCAACCTGGGTCCTCCCAGATGTTCTACCATTCTCACCCACCCTGACAGCTTGGGAGTTGCAACCCAAAACATCCAGAGCAGCCCAGACTGAGGAAGGCTACAGCGGACCCACTTTCCACTTCCCCGAGGAAGCTCACCCAGAAGCAGTGCCTGTTTGAGCATCCTCGTGGCTAGTGCCTACGGCTGGACCTGCCCCCGGCTCCCACAGCTGCCCCTCCAGCCCCTTGAAGAGGCAGAGCAGAGTGAGGCGGCCTGGCTGAATTGGGGGTGGGGTGAGGGGGGGGGAGCCTGTCCCCAGAATTGGGTGGGGGGCCTTCCATGAGTCAGGTCCTTCTTCCTGCAGGGGACAGATCCAAGGAATTCCTTCATCTAATCCTGTTTTGAAGCCCCATCAGTGAGTGAGTGGATGCTGTCCCAGCTCAAGCCAGTGATGGCTCGATAGCAAAGCATGCACCGTATGAATGGCATTTGTGTTCTTATATATCTAATTTACCCTGTTTATATACTGCTCTGCACCTAAACAGATGGAATGATGATCAATAGGAATGAAGGGGATAAAAACACAATAGCCAAAGTTCTCAAAGAACAGAAGGCCAATAAGAGGCCAGGCTGGTCAACGAGGAAGGTTCATGGACACTGAAAAGTCTTCAGCATGCCCTAGACGCAAAGCGATGTCTGACCTGCCTGTTCTCCAGAGCCGCCAATGCCTGCCTGGCCTCCAGAGGGAGGGAGTCCCGCAGAGAGGAAGCAACCTCATGGAGGAAACCACACTGGGTGGATTTCAGGGGGGACATCATTCCATGAAGAATGGCCAGAACCATCTCATTTAAGGACTGCACAGGCTGGGGGGCAGGGGAAGAAAAAGCTCTTTCAGGTCTCCTGGTCCCAAGTTGTTTAGGGCTTTACACACCAGTAACAAGACCTTAAACCTGGCCCAACAGCGAATAAGCAGCCAGGACAGCTCCCTCAGCAAAGAGATCAGGCCGAAAAGGGGCAGCTTCGGACAGCTTGCTGCACTAGTTGCTGCTTCCGGACCAGCTCTGAGGGTGGCCCCACCCAGACGTGGTTGCGGTACTTCAGGACTGAGGTTACCAGCACGGGTGGCCAAGTTCTCCCTCTCCAGGAGAGGCTGTAGCTGGCACATCAGGCACAGCTGGTGAAAAATAATCCAAGGCCACTCAGGCCTTGAGGGACAGTAATGGACCTATGTGTATCCCAAGACTGTCAACTTGATTTTTTGAAGGGAGTCTAACCCCATCCAGAGCAGGAGATGAACCCATCTCCTGGACTTGGAGGCCACTTGCTCGCTTCTATCACACCAGGATTCAGCCTGTGTGTCTTGGCCCCTATCCAGCCCATCACTGAGTCGAGGCACTGATCCAGGACTTACACAGCCTCATCCGATGCAGATGTCACAGGGAGAGATTGCTGTGTGTCCTCAGCGTACTGACGGTCCTTGGTTCCAGGCCCCCTAAAGACCACTCGCAGGGGTTTCATAGAACTGTTGAAATTGGGGACAAGCTGGTACCTTGTGGCTCCCCATAGCTAAATTGAGAGCCAGTGTGGTGTAGTGGTTAAGAGCCTGGGACTGGGACTCAGAGGATCTGGGTTCGAGTCCCCACTCAGCCATGGAGCCAACTGGGTGACTTTGGGCCTGTCACAGACTCTCAGCCCAACCTACCTCACAGGGTTGTTGTTGTGGGGGTAAGATGGAGGAGGAGAATGATGTAAGCTGCCTTGAGCCCCTTTTAAGAAAAAGGCAGGATATAAATCCAAAAATAAATAAATAAATAAATAAATAAATAAATTGCTGAGGGCTTGAGGAAGGGTCACCGAAGGTTATTCTCTGAAATTGACCCTGCGGGTAGCAGTGGAACCACTGCAGCATGGTGCCTCCGGTGCCCAGCCATGAAGCCAATCCTGGAGGATGCCTGTGCAATTAATGGGTAGGATCAACAGGTCATGCTTCCCCCGTCCCTTCCTTCACAAAGGTGATCAGTCAAGATGCCTGAGGCTGGTGCTCCTTCATCACTTCCAGAACCTGGTCAAAACCCAGATTGGATCCCTAATTGCCACTTTAGAAGAGCTCTCAAAAGAGAGAGATGTCCTTGCAAACATGAGTCAAAGAACACCTAGTAGCACCTTTATAGAATTCATAGAATCATACAGTCAGAAAGGGCCTAGAAGGTCATAGGATTCAACCCCCTGCTCAATGCAGGACCCAAGGTCACCCATCCAGATTTCAACCAGGCCTGACCCTGCTTAGCTTCCAAGATTAGGCAGGATCAAGCACTTCAGGCTACCTGGAAGCTTTCCCTGTAAGCCAGAATGTCTTTGCTGAGCCAGTGTGGTTAAGACCATTTCTATCTTGTGAATTATGCCCTGTGGGATTGAATAAAGCAGAGGATAATGTGCTAACAGA